ACCTTGAAGATTGACATCTCCAAGTATAGGGGAGTCGAAGAGGACTCTCTCTTGAGATGGTTCGTCGAATTGGATGACGCCATAAGGGCGCGTCGCATCGACGACGGGGATATGCAAGTTGCATTTGCCCAGTCAAATCTGGCAGGACGTGCCAAGACTTGGGCACTGGGGCTCAAGTTGCACGACCCATATGCGTTTGGGTCGTTGGAAGTCTTCAAGTCGCGGCTCAAACAAACGTTTGAACCGCCTAGAGCTGAGTTCAGAGCTCGAACCGAACTCTTGAAGCTCAAGCAGGGTAAGCGTGATGTGCACGCTTACGCTCAACATATACGACATCTCACGAGTTGTATAAGTTCCAATCCGGTGGATGAACACACGTTGGTTTCGGTGTTCATGCAGGGTCTTGCGGATGGTCCCGTCAAGACTCACCTGTTCCGGCTTGAACTAGATTCACTAGAACAAGCCATTTCCATTGCGGAGCAGGAAGACTTCAGTCTGAGACAGGCTCGCGCCAGCTCGACATCATATCGTCAACCGAGACGATATGACAGCGGAGGTCCAGAGCCGATGGAACTCTGTTATGTAGAGAGCGAGAATTCTCGCTCTACAGGCTACAAGAAGCTGCAGAGATGCAACAGATGTCAAATGACAGGACACTACGCTTACGAGTGTAGTGCCCCTCGTCCAGTGTCTCGCGACACTGGGCGTAGTGACCGTCCACCCATGAGAAAGGGGCAGGGACGAGGGTCCGCTGTTGGTGCAAAGACGCAACAACGGGATGGACCGTCAAAAAACGGACAGGATCAGTAGGTGCGGAGCACCCTACTGGTCCAGCAACGTCAAGAGAATTTGTAGGCCTCTTGACGAAGGTTGCTCCCAACACACAAACGTTGTGCGTTGCTGCTCTAGGTAATGAGGTCTCACTCATTACCTTGAAACTCGAAGTGACAAATAAGTTGTCCCTTCGAGCTCTAGTCGATTGTGGGGCGTCCAACAATTTTGTGCGACGCCAATCGCTAGAAGATGGTCACTTTAAATTCAGTGAATGTGACATACCTCCTACGAGGATGACGGTACGTCTTGCGACAGGCGCATCCGTAACCGTCATGAAGCGTATAGTGAAGATCCACTATACGCTAGAAGATACCCAATATGACGATGACTTTATCGTATTGGATTTGGATGACAAATTTGATGTCATCCTTGGAATACCGTGGCTCAGAAGGTACGAACCACGGGTAAACTGGCAACATCGAACAGTAACGATGCCTGCCGCTTGTTCATCAGATGTCCATCTGATGAACGTTTTGGAGCGTCCACAAGCGTGTGGATGTACTACGAGTGAGTGCGATGGCCTCACTTGTGGTACGGTCGTTAGTACGACTGCACAAAACCTTAGTGTACCAAACGGTTACACTTCGGAGCAAAGTTCCGGCGGATGTGAGGGAAACACAGGCTGCGCCGAAGGTCCACCACTCGAATAAGTCGGGTGGACTGGGACAAAGATGTATCCCTAGCGGGGAACATCTAGAAGAGAAACAATCGATCGCTCAGGTTAAGCGAAACGATAATCCTAGATCGACTGGAGAGTCTTTCGTAGAGGATCTCGCTGTGGTTGCGCAACCCCAGCTAGAGGAAGTAAAGGGAATAAGTTCCGATAGTACAAATACGGCGGAAATAAGTTCCCCGAAACCCGCGGGAATAAGTCCCCGGGAAGACGAAGGAATAAGTCCTTCGAAGCCTGAGGGAATAAGTCCCCAGGAAATGACAGAGACATTGAATGTCATGATCAATAACGGATCAAGTGTAGGCGCTTATACACTTGATCTGATTGCGCCTCCGAAGTTAACTTCGGAGATCACTCAGTTGCCAACGCTCGAACATAAAAGGTTCTTGCGTGATCTGCGTAGTGGCAAAGTCAAGCAGATCTGCATACTCGGCGCTGACGACGAGTGTGTAACCGACATAAGGTCAGCAACAGTGTTTACTGAGAACGAGAGAGTTCTCAGTAGTTCATCGATGGACGAGAGTGTCCTAGATGAAAAGACACGAATTGAGCGATATGACTCCCAATCGTGGGAATCGCTCAAGAAAAATCCTCTCTATGAAGATTTGGTTGAATTCAAGGATGTATTCCCTGAAACTGTTCCGTGCGAATTACCGAAGGATAAAGGTATTCGACACGAGGTCGAGCTTAAACCAGGCTCGAAGTACTGTGTCATGAAGCAGTGGCCACTGCCTCGTGAACAAGTACTTGCGATCGACAATTTCTTTGCCGATCGTTTAGCTGCGGGCCATGTGAGGGAATCAACTTCCCCACATAGCTCTCCGACCTTTTGTGTGCGAAAAGCAACAGGAGGGTGGCGGATAGTGCACGCGTTCAACAAATTGAATGCTGCAACGGTACCGGCTCAGACGCCGATACCGAGGAAGGACGTAATCATTGATGGTATGTCAAAGAGTACCATCTTTTCGTCCATGGATTTGATGGATGGCTTCTATCAAATCCTTATGCGGGAACGGGATATACCCTATACCGCAGTTAGCACGCCTAGCGGCATGCTCTGGGAATGGCTAGTAATGCCACAAGGGCTTAGTAATGCCCCTGCCACGTTCAACAGATGCGTATCACATCTGTTGAGACCAGTACGAGAATTCGCGCCGAGTTATTTCGATGACGTATTCATCCATAGTCGAGCTATGGATGGAAAGTCGGACGTTGAGGTTCACAGGTACCACGTCCGACAGGTTCTTACAATCATGCGAAAGCATCAATTGTATGCAAACCTCAAGAAGTGTATATTTGCCGCAAGCGAAATACCACTTCTTGGGTGCATCGTTGGTAAGAACGGTGTACGTCCTGATCCCGAAAAGATCAAGGCGATCACCGACTGGCCTGTGCCGGTTGATGTCAAAGGTCTTCGAAAATTCCTTGGGCTAGCGGCGTATTTGCATAAGTATTCACGCAATTACGCCGAGATGACTGTGCACCTCTCTCGTTTGTTGAAAAAGAACGAGAGGTGGTTATGGAACGCTGAATGTCAACGCTCCTTTGATGGTATCAAGCAGAGCTTGATACAATCCCCAGTCCTAGCAATAGCCGATCAGGACAGGCCATTTCATGTGGTCTGTGATGCCAGCGATTTCGCAATCGGCTGTGCATTAATGCAATACGATCTTGAAGGCGTTGAACGCGTCGTCTGCTATCAGTCGCGTCAGCTGCAACCAGCTGAGCGGAACTATCCAGTGCATGACAAGGAACTCCTTGCCATGAAGTATGCACTCGCGAAGTTCAGAGTCTATCTATTAGGAGATAGACCCTTCGTTGTTTACACTGACCATGCGTCATTACGCACGGCAGTGAACAGCCCGCACCTTTCACAACGAATGGCGCGGTGGTTGTCATTCTTTGCGGAATGCAACTTTACGGTCGAGTACAAACCAGGACGACTTAATGTCGTCGCTGATGCACTCTCACGTCGTCCCGACTTTGAAACAGTCGCGAAACCCAACAGTAAGACAGTCACTGTTGCGGTTGTGACGTCCTCAGTCCCATCTACAACGTTGTATGATGATGTGAGGCGGGCATACGCCCAAGATGGTGAGATAGTGAAGTTGTTGTCACATCTCTCCCAACCATATCGAGAATCGTTGAAGATTGTCGCCTGCGTATCGATCTGCATCAGATCGATACACTACTCGTAACGGTTTACTGTATTATACAGCCGTTTCTGGTGACACACCACGTGTTGTCATCCCAGATGATACTGATCTGCGTTTGCGTATCATGTTCGAGTATCACGATGCTCCTATAGGAGGACATCGTGGCCGGGAGAAGACATACCTCACGGTGAGTCGAGACTTTTACTGGCCCCGCCAGTATCAGTTTGTGCGAAAGTATGTTCGCGCATGCGAAGTCTGCCAACGAGTGAAGTCAAGTCCTTCACTGCGTGCACCTTTACAGCCTCTAACGGTTCCGGCTGAGCGCTGGGAATCCATCTCAATGGATTTTGTCTTCGGGTTACCCAAAGACGCACGCGGGAATACGGGTATTATTGTACTTGTTGACAGATTCAGCAAAATGGTACACCTTGTGGCTGTGCCCGAGTCAATCACAGCAAGTGGCTGTGCTTGTGTCTTTATCGACACCATCTTCCGATTTCATGGGCTGTCCCGTGAACTCGTATCAGACAGAGATCCACGATTCACTGCTGATTTCTGGCGTTCCGTGTTCAAATCACTCGGAACGCGCTTGAAGATGTCTACATCTGATCATCCAGAGTCAGATGGTCAGACGGAACGTGCCAATCGTGTCCTTGAACAGATACTTCGAGGATACGTACACTCGTTTAAGAGTTGGAGTGAGTTTTTGCCAATGGTAGAGTTTGCCATTAACAACTCGGTGCATGCGTCCACGACACATACACCGTTTTACGTGAATGACTTACGTCATCCGCGTGTACCCACCTTACTAGAGTGTAACTCTGGTTCAAGGGGGAGGGACTCGCGCGAGCAAAAACCGATTTGGTTCACGCTCATCACGCTCTGACGAAGAGGTCATACGTTTGATGCCGATATCGACAACATCGATATCGAAGAAGATGATGCCAGTGAGAGTGCGGAAGCCCTCACTGAAGAAAAGGTTGATGTTGCTGCAGTGCGCTCACAGCGCACTGAAGCTAACGAGTCATCAGATGAGTTCATACTGGCTCGTGAAACGGTAGTCCGCTTTGTGCAAGACTCCATCGCCGAAGCGGTGGACAAGCAAAAGCAAAACGCTGACAAGAATGGAAGGGCGGAGACTCTTTTATTTAATAAAGGTGACTTAGTCCTACTGTCTACGGTTAATCTACCAAAGCATGTAGTGACTTACTTGGGTAGCAGTAAACTACTACCCAAGTACATCGGCCCATTTCGTGTATTGCACCGCCTAGGCAATGCATACACGATCGAGTTGCCACGTAAGATGCGAACGCATCCCACGTTTTACGTTGGTCGGCTTAAGCCGTACCATCAGTACGCTGCTTCTTCCGATGAAGAACGCCCTTGCGCTCAAGCATCTCGCAGAGAGCCTTGTGCTCCCGATGGTGGGCATCAACAAGGGTCTGAAGAGCGGTTATCTCAGCCCGAGACCGATCAACAATCCCACGAGCTACCCTTAGCTCGTCATGAAGAGATGTCAGAGATCTCTCGTTCTCAAGCTGAGCAAAGGCAAACTCAGCTCGATGCTTCAAGACAGTGTCCGCCAATTGTAGACGCCTGCCCCGCTCGTGTTCGAGATCGTCGCGTAACCCTTGCGTTACGCGATCAAAGAAGCTCTCGGGAACACACCGATCCCCATGATCGTGTGGAGAGCGTCTTTCCTCCTCCTCCACCTCCATTAGAGAACTCTCGCGGTGGCCAGCGCTATCTAGTTGAGCAACTGTTGAACCACCGCGACGTGAACGGACGTCGGACGAGTTATCTCGTCCGGTGGCGCGGCTATATCCCGTCCTGGGATTCTTGGGAGCCCCGCTCCCAACTGATGATCGACGTACTGGGTCTGGTTGAGCAGTACGATGCGGCACATCCTGTGCCGCAGAAGGACCGCCGGAGAAAGTCTTCCCGGCACGGTCGTAAAGGGATTTCAGGTTGTCAATCCCTTCGTACATCTCAGTAGAGATACGTACGCGCCAACACGGGCTGGTAAGGAGGTAAGCCTACTTAGGTGATCGTGCAGAGTTGTTCACATAACACGGGCACGAGTCTCCCCAAGAGAGGCAGGGTAATCCTTTCTCCCTTGACAGACGATGCAGCTTGTAGCGTGCACCTGTCGGGGTTCGCTTTTCAAACTTATCACGAGCTTTGATAAGTTTGTCGTTCCAAGCGTCACGACCTACATCCTCAAGGTTATGGATGTAGGCGTTCCACGCCTGAAGAAGTGAGGGACCATCACGCTTGTGATTCCCACTGTACCATCGATGTCTAAAGAAAGCATCGATGAAGAACTCATGCTCAGCGCGATAGTTTTTCGCGCTGGGGTCAAGGTGATGGATCCTTGACGAATCGAACAATCGTGTTCGATAACGATCACTCGTCGTCGCCGACAAGTGATCCATGACAGATTTTGGAGGCATCCATGCCTTCTTCTCGGGAGCGAGACGCAACACATTGCGGTCCCGCTCTTCCTGCGACGTGCCGACAGAAGTACTGGCACCTCGTTGCGAAGTGGTGTCCATAGGAGAACCGACACCACTGTTAGCGCCCGAGTCTCGCGACCTCGAGCGCCTTCGCTTCGGCGATGGTTCATCTGATTCATCAAATGAACCAAAGATGCTGCGACGCAAAGCATCGTCCATGCCACGCTTGGCAGGCGGCTTGGATTCAATCGCCGTCGATACGGATCCGTCTTCCGTATCAGGAGAGTACGAGACACCGAGCTCGTACTCTGTGAAGACATGAGTGTCTTCATGACCAGCGCCTGCATCACCAAGTGACACAGGCTGGGTCGCTTCAGCAACCGATGAGACATCAGTTGCTGTGGTTTCTGCTTCGGCGTCTGCACAGAGACGTGCGGGCGCGCTCTCGGCGGCCTTGCTCGCGCACCGCATGGGCTTGTTAACCATGCGATGAAATGTTGGGAAGTGGACTCGGACCAACAAGTGCAAACCCTGTCCCAAATGATTTGGGACGAGTATCCATTTACTCAGTCAGTCACTAAAGTGACTGATGGTTAGGGGGGGTGATGTAACGGGGTGAATCGTTACATAATAAGTTATAAGAAATTGTTAATAGAATATAACTATAAGAGTTATATTCTCAGAATATTGTCATAAGGACAAATATTCTGTAGCACTTACGAGTAGTTCCTAATTGGATGATATAGGCCATTATATCAACCAACGAAGACGCGCCACGACAGACGCACGCAATGAGTGGTGAGCAGATAACTGCTTTACACATTTGTATTTAGACAAAGTTAGATGAAGATAAATAGTGATTTATTGAAGACATTAACTATTATAAATACAGTTCTACTTTTTACTTTAACCAAGTACTCGCTTCTTCTTACCGTCTTCCTCTGCACGTACGAGTGTACGTGAAGTTACGAGGCACCGCCTTATTCTGTCATCAGAATAAGTAGCTTGTACTGTCACCAGTACAAGCTTCAGGGTGCCCCGTTACATGGTGCTCTCATAGTTCTTTTAGTCTATCGAGCTTACAAGAAGCATATCAAGCCTGTTTTCGTGTCCATGGCAGTGATAGCTTGCATGTAGCGTAGCTACACAGCTCCTTAAGTCAGAGGAAGACTTAACGCTCAACGAGCAACTTCGTTCTAAAGAACTAGACTCGATGAGTCAACAAGCGTGAAGCTTATGGTCCTTGTTCCAGGGGACCATTCGATTCAATGGATCGACAGCACGTAATGCTCAAGAGTAAGTAGCCACATCAAAGAGGTGCTGCTAACTCTTAGTGATCAGCGGTCAAAGACCAAAGATGCCTCGCAGGGCACGTGTCTTTAAGATCAAAAGGGGAACTGAAATTACTTTACATTTACACCAATAGAATATCTTAACCTAAGTCAGTACAACTAAGATCCCTCCTATCTAGTAGGTGGCAGCAGTGAGTCCCTAAAGACCGATAAGATATTCTATATCTCTTTCAGTGGGATATCATCCGTGTGTATGAGACACAGGGTACCAGGTACCCAACGACGTGTGACTCCGTTATATTGCGAGTCTGGATTTTTGTGTTTGTGTTGATTCCAAGTAGCCACTACAAGTGGCCGTCGCGTCCTTCCAGGTCTTAACTCAAGAGTAGTTGTCGAATCAGTCGAGTGATTCATGCAGCAGGATTCACTTTGCCTCGAAACGTTCACACTGTCAACACTGATCAATCGCCTACCGACGTTTGAACCACCGTTACTGCTGAGGCTCAATGAGACCATCGTAAATGCCTCTACGCATCCGTTATCATGAAGTTGCTGTATATTGAGGACCGGTATCAACCAGCTGTAACCTGACGAGCACACCTCGTAGTGGGTCGACAGGGCTGCTCAAAAGTAGAGCTAATGCAGAATGAAGACCTGCTAGACCAAGTCCTACCAAGGATTGGTGAGGCTGTTTTGTCAATGACCAGTTTCAGTGTAAGGCGCGCGTGCAGCTCAGTCAACTTCTTGAGCTAGTCACCATACATCGTATGAGCAGCATCGCTGTTACAAGAAACACGTTACTTCATCGAAGCTCTTTCTCTATATCAGGACAACGGTTCTTGTCAGTCCTCGTTGTACTCTAAAGCGACAATTCTTTCGGACTCAAACGGTCTGCCGCCATTTCTGCTGCATTTGTCATATCGATACTGCTAGTGTTAAACGAAGGAGTCGAGAGCGAGAGGAATCCAAAGTGAGTACTGACTACATATAGCTCCGATTGTCCAGCGGGTAATGATACTCCCGAGGATGGTGGTACTCCACCAGTCCAATGTAGATGCCTCCGCCTATTGCACCGCCCAGAATGGGGCCAACTATCGGTACCCAAAAGTAGTAGTCACGCAGCGTGAACGCGTCCGAGCCCCAGCCGGCGCATAATGAGAAAAAACGCGGACCGAAGTCGCGAGCCGGATTGATGGCGTACCCCGTGTTCAAGCCAAAGGCCATACCGATCCCTGTTACTAGCAGAGCCACAGCGCTCGGTTTCGTGTACGGGCTAGCGGGTTCGTTTAACTCGTCACCTAGAGCAAAGATACCCCCCAACAGAAGCGCTGTGCCAACAATCTCGGTCAAGAAGCAGGTGCCTATCGAGACGTCGTCACTGTACGGATACGTCGCAAAGATGCTACGGGTCGATTCCCTGTCCGACCTGACTGGGTCGAGTAAGGGGTAGTAAATGGCCCAGACAAAGAAGGCGGCAACGAAAGCGCCTAGCACTTGGGCGATGATGTACGGGATCACTTTGCGCCGTTCAATGCGTCCGTAAAGGAACAGTGTCGTAGTCACTGCCGGGTTCAAATGGCCACCCGAGACTCCTCCTGCTGCGTGGATGCCAAAAAGCACCCCGAGACCCCAACACAAGTTGATGCTAAGGTAGTCTCCGTGGTTGCCACCACCAAGCTTTACTTGAGCAACGACACCGTCTCCAAACAGAATGAGTACCATCGTGCCAATAAATTCCGCCAGACACTCCCGAAGCAGCGGAGACTTGACTTGGTACGGCTTGGAAACATCTGCAGCTGCCTCGATATCAGGCTCGTGCGAGCCAAAGTATCGGTCCTCGGGCTTGTTGTTGGGATTCATAGTTGGTAAAACTTTGAAATGATATTGTGGACTGGAAGCGCTCGTAGAGCACGGGCAGGTTGGTAAGTGAGATCAATGAAAGCTATAAACAACGTAGGCTTCAACGGAGAGCTGGCAACGTTATGTTAGCCCACACTTCAATGAGGTGACCTCCCTGATGGAATCTAACAGACATCATTTATACCAGTAGACATCGATACGCCGCCTCTCCCATCCATCAGAAAATTGACTCGTCTCGACTCGACCAAGTTGAAGCTACCAACGACTGTAGTACTAGTAGCTCCCGCGAACGCATTGTGTGCCAAAGCGAGCTTCCACTATGCCAATGAAGGCGAATAACTCATCGTTATTGTGAGATATAAAGACGACGAAGGCAGCTCAGCCACATTTTAGGGACGGGACAGTCTGACTGCCGTACATGTGTATTGCGACAAAAGATGTAGAAGGGTACTCGAGTTTGCTTCTCTACTTTGATGCCGAAATGGGCAAGTACAACGAAAACGTCACTGTAAAGTAGTGCGTCCAATGCAACTGTGGAACTCGAACGCGGCATGAGGCTGTCAATAACGTCGCCTGCTTTTGGTGCACCGATGGACTCTGGACATCGATCAGTGCTCGTTTTAATGTAACACGGAGGCATGAAACGGGAATTGATGCTGACTTTCACTGGATCGATGTAGCATCAGCACAGCAATACCCTGCTAATCCATAAAAAGCGGCTCCCGTTGTATTTTTCTGACACAGCGTTGCAGTACTGACACCTCCGACGTGCAGTCGCTTGCAGTCATAAACGTTACATCGTGGTAGTCCTAGCGTGTGCGCTTCCTTGGACCTTGAACAATGACCCGATCACAATATCTGGTTGGAGCAGCTAGTCCGCGAGGTGTCGCACTAGCAGGTATTTGTCCTCAGTACGTTGCCGTCGAGCAGTATGGGCGAGTTCTAACTCTGCAAGCCTGATCGCGCCGAATATGTTCCACAAAGTCCACCGGGTCTGCCACTGTTTAACACTTGGTTAGGAGACGCTCTGCGGGAGGGTCTGGTCGTTGTGCACAATGCACCTCATTCCAAGCATAATCGAAGAATGGGAGAAGAACTTTCGTTGCAGTATGGAATCAAACGCTACAAAGCGCTATCGTTATCCCACAGCTGAGCTGCTATGAATGCTTCGATTATCGATGAGCTGTTTTGATCGTGATCATTCCTGGGATGCCTGAGATGACGAAGGAATCGTCGAGTTTGTCCAAGGCAACGCACGCATGAACGTCTTGCCAAGTCATTTTGCCACCAATTCATCCGAACTTCTGCTCTGGAGTCCTGAATCAGTGCTGTCACGTTGAATCAGGTGAAATGTCGATACTTGACCGACACAGCATCTGT